ATGCTTGTCCCTCCACATCTTCCGCGCTGAGCCACGCCCGGGCACTTTATTGGTGGTTGTGGATTTAGGTTACTTACTCACGGAAGAAACCAACTTTCTCCGCTGACTGCGGACCAACCCCATGGACCATGCAGGTGTGACCCATTATTTGGAGTTGAACGACTGGAATCCTTGCACTTACCGTTGACTCTGGATTTGAGTATATGATGATCAGGCATAATGACGTAGCACCGATAAAGAAAAAGATTGACGATGCTCCCAACAAGACACAAACACAATGTGACCACAAATTGAACTGCGGTATGACCACTGATGGAAAGCCACTGCGCGATCCACGACGCAGCATAGCCCATGGGTACTGGGAAGAAAATCACCGGCAATGTTACGAACATGTAGACGATATCGAATGCGGTAGAGCACAGTTGATAGGAGAGCAGATACCATTTGTAAGCTCCCATTTGTTTTGTCGATTTGTAAAGAATGCAGTATATAGCAAATGCATTGAAACCAATTGCAAAGAAGGATAGCACGTGCATTGAAATGAAGTAAAAATCAGTCCCAACTTCGAAATTCTCGCACACGATCATCGAAATGGACGGGATGAGATTCCGATATTCAGAGTAGTAACTTATGTGGAGAGATACGCAGTTGACTGCTCTCGTCACACAGTTCCATAGAACACCTGACATAATCACGCTGTGATTTCAGTGGAACACGAACAGAACAAAGATCGTCTAATGATTGTCAGGGTTGTCTTTTACCGCGATGAAGTTCTGAGTCCACTTGATTTTTTTGATTTTGAGGGATGCTTCCCTTGGAGTTATTTTGAATACAAAGTGAACGCAGATTCGAGTATGTTCTTCGCTAGAAGCAGCAGCTACGTTGATGGAGCAGCCATGTTTAACAAGTGAGCTTCGAAAAACGGATAGAGGGAGGTTCAGAAGACGAGCATTGCAAGTGTGCTCACCAAGGCTACATTCGTACTAGAACCTAGTCGTAGTTATCACAGCATGTCGGATCACTTAGCAAGGAAATACTAGCTAGGATGTTGATACCGCCCCATGTATATTTACCAATACACACCAGAACAAAGTAGTACGGCTTCCTGGGATATATAACTTCCCTTGGGGTAGTTTATTTATTTATTCATTTGAATACACCCGAACGTGTGTCACAGACGCAGGAAAAGAATTTTAAATGCGCAGCAAATGGAGATGTGAAATTAAAACAAAAGCAAAACAAAACGAAAAAACATAGGAAAAGGAAGACTGGGAACAAAAGCAAACGAACAGGCTGTGGTCGAAGGTTCCAAAGGAAATAAGAAACGGGACCTTTCATTGTGAATAACGATACGATCATTTTTCTTCTCAGGTAGATGAAAGGGTGTACCCGAGTCCTGGTCTTTGGTCCAGAACGCAGAGATATAGCAGCAGTACCAGGGCTTGCTGACAACCTAACCCGTAATCCACCATACAATCGCACAGTAATGTTTGAGTAGAGTCTAAGCTCTCCAATTCTGAGAATTCGGCATCGTTCGGTATAGTCTTGCTTTGTTCTTCTGCAACGTCTTTATAGAGCCAACGTTTCGGCCCCTCGTCATCGTCAAAAGCTCAAAAATGGCTCAAGCTCCAAGGCGGGTCCAGTCAAAGGCAGGTCCCGCGACCGAAAACTCTAGGTTGTGGACCTCAAATATGAATAATCTCCTGCTTCTCTCTTGCTGTAACTTTGCCATCTTTGCATACCCTGTTTATATTGCTGTGGCTCGAGGTTCCTAGGTAAAAACCTTACCTAAACGCTTGACATTTCTACGTGATCGCCTCCTCAAGAAGCCTTAGAGTACTGCGAGCTTAAGGAATGAACGCTGCCTCACTAAGCGACAGCGCAGCCACAGTCAACACTAGCTGTTCCGATGATGTCTTCGGAATCATGCGGGAAGGTCGTATACAGAGCACGAGAAATGAAGTACCGATCCAGCCATCTTAAGAGACATTGCTTTCTGACAGTGAACTTCACAAACGACATCCTTGTTTTCTTTTCGCCTCCATTTATCACAAAAAAGAGGTGCCAAAAACTCATTTCCGGTGACTTGACGAACCCTTTTGATGACCACATATTACTAGAATATGAACCAGCGCAAGAACTATGCTTTTTCCCACAGAAACTTGATCATCATTCTTCACACAAAGAATGTAGCCTTTAATCAGTTGATCTTCAATCTGAGATCCCTACTATTTCAGGGTACATGACTGGAAATTTAGTAATCTAAGGTGACAGGTGCTTTAGGTCATTGAGTATCAAGAACGGGAGCATGCGTTCAAGTTCTAGGTAAAGGGGTACCTGCTAGTTCTATTCTTGATCCACTTCGTGAGCCTGACCTATGATCGAATGTGACGATTACGAACTTAACATCATTTCTGATTTCTACCTGATTTTCATGCATGGTGTATCGATCCTGGATCTCTGTATGAATATGCTGGCAATATACTGTATCATTTATAAATCAACTAAACAAATGGGTGCCTATAAATGGTATTTGCTTGTCCATCAAATAGCATCTACACTATTTGACTTTGTTTATACGGCTGTTACTTTACCAGCTATTTTCTTTCCAATACCTATGGGTTATCCTGCGGGTGTATTTGCTGGATGGCTGTCTATTGACTGTCATGCTTCTGTAATAATGGTGGTTACATTATGCTCGTGTCTTGGTGCCACAATTGTCAATCTTTTCAACTATCGTCGCCATTTGGTCACTCCCCGTCATCGTTTATTGAGCTGCACGGATCATGGTATGTGTAGATAATTCACAACATAGCGTTTATTTGTTTATATGAGACACTACTACAACAAATTCCGAGACTGTTATGTTGGCGTAGTGGAGAAAAAACTTAATTGCTCGTTCCTCCTCATTCTCTCTTTACAATGAGGGTTTCACCAACGAGAAAGGCACCCTCTGTACCCGCCCACCTGTTGACGCGGAAAGTGCTTTTGGAAAACACGTGCACCTCACAGCTTGTCCACCTTTCTGAAAGAGAGGGCCCTGTGAAAGAGATGTTTTTGTTCAAGGTGGAGATGATCGACTGGTATATTCGCAAGCTGTGCGCAGCTAGACCCTGCCACATGCCACAAAAACTCTGTTAGTCGACCTCGAAAGCGTCCCAAAGCAGTTATTCCGCTACCAGTCGCCTCAATTCTTTCATACCACTTCCGCGAGCGGAAACGTTATGTGCTAGGCAGTGAGATGCTCTGTGCGAAATCCACTGTGTTGTGGTGACTTGGCGGCAGCTGCT